CCACGTTAGCCATTGAACTTATAATACGTGAAGTAAACTTTGAAATTGACTCTTCACTTTTAATAGAGACAACAAGATAGTGTTGGGATACAAAGTATGTGTATTTCAGGAGCAGGGGCGGACTGACCATTTGGAAACAAGGGCACTGCCCAAGGGCCCGGGGTCAGTAGGGGGCCCATGAGAAGCCCCTGGTACCTTTTTCATAGGCTTTTTTGAGTTTGGGCAAGGACACAGGGACCCCATGATCCTCTATTGCCCGGGGGCCCCATGAGTTGTCAGTCCGCCCCTGGTCAGGACACATCAGAAGGTTCTCCAATCCCAATCAATGGCACTATGTGCCTACGGTCCTCAACCCCACTTATAGCGACATTTCTGCAGTACCGGCCTCTGTATTTCTGGACATTTCATGGTCATCCCCACCTGACTGTTTGAATGATGACCCCACCATAATTCACACTAAATCTACATTCGAACTGGTTAATCCTGAGCAGCAAATCTAATACCGTTATGCAGGCCATACATGGGTCAAATCCTGAACGATTTTTTGTCCGAAAATTGAAAACGTTGCCATCAATGATTTTAAAAATCGTCCGACCAAGTCATAAAGTTCACCCCATATAACAGGCGAAACTGCTCCTTCCAGGTCACGGCTCATGCGCATATTCTTTTCGTAAAAACAATCGTACGATTTGGCCATCATTGAGTCAAAAATCTGTCGTTTTTCACTAATTTTCCAACATACCGATCACCGAAAAGGGGAGGAACCACGAAAATCGTCCGGTGCCATTGACCCACTAACAGAGCGAAAATCGGCCGATTATTCTTAGGTCCGAAAAAAAATCGGTCGAATTTCAACCCATATATAGCCGACCTCACACTCAACTCCTCTGTGAAGTCAAGGACCAGGCTGAGTTCCCAAAGATCTGAACACTTTTCTACATTGTCTTCTGTTGTATGAACTACTTCTTGACTTATCCATGTTGTTCATCACTTTGCAAATAAATACCGAGGACCATGAAAATTGTCGTAGACCTCCCACCATCGAGGAAAACGTACAAGCAGTAAAGGTCATCATTCGATGTGTTACTTCGTTTGTCAAAGGAAAATGATTCGCCTTTTAAACCAACGACTTGGCTGAAAGGGAGGTATGAAGGACTGGTGCATGTTGCTGCCTTCTCCTCTGAAGATAGGTTCATAAACTGTCTTCTGTGCCATTTTACAGCCAGGAGTAATGACTTTGCAAGTGTTAAGCTAATGTTAGCATTGATCTTCCTTGTTCTCCCTGTCGCGAGAGTCACTTTGGGTGGGGGGCCCATGGAACCCGGATCACTTTGGAGAGGTCGGGAGACCCCTGTCTCAGCTACCCATATCCCTATTATATGTAAGTCACCCTGTGCCTGTTAGGGGTACAGGGTGATCTGTCCTAATATTGGGGTGGGGGGGTTGTTGATTGTTTAATGCCATGTGGTTGCATCCCATTGTTCTATTGTGTGTCTTGCTTGGGAGCAAACTATTATGGGATGTACAGTATGTGTTTGTTTATTGGCTTGGTGGGGGGTGTTTCCAGCAGGACTCCCTCCTGATGGGACTGTCTGTTGGTGTGTCTGTTGTTACTAAAGGTAGATTGCCCCGCCCTGTGTCATTATGCAGGGAGGGGGGATTGTATATATCTTGCATCTGTGTTACAATAAAGTAGTCTATTACCTGGTTTACTTCAAGATTGGTGTCGTCTAGTCTTGTATGGTATGCTGTGGTGTCTGTGGTCGGTGTTCGGACGGGGAAGCTGTATTATAACGGAAATACCCAAGTGCAGACTGGGTCCTTTCTTCTTTTTCAGATTATCCCAGAATAGTCTTCTTTTATTTATTATTTATTTCAGGTACTTATATAGCGCTGTCAATTTACGCCGCGCTTTACATACATATTGTACATTCACATCAGTCCCTAACCCTCAAGGGGTGTACAATCTAAGTACAAAGGTCTAAGGTCCCTAACTTATAGTCCCTAACTTATAGTCATACATACTAGGGCCAATGTAGAAAGGAGCCAATTAACCTACCAGCATGTCTTTGGAGTGTGGGAGGAAACCAGAAACTCACGCAGGCACAGGGAGAACATGCAAATCCAGACAGGTGGTGCCGTGGTTGGGATTCAAACCAACGACCAGTACTGCCAGGCGGAAGTGCTAACCATTTAGTCACTGTGCTGCCCCTGTAAATGCTTGGAGTCCATTGTTAATTTGATTTATATTTGAAATCATGGATTTTTACGGGGAGTATCATGCTACACATGTATGTTTCTTTACCGTTAAAGATTTTGTCCCTACCTCTCTCTGCAGCTATAGTTAGCTCCACCCTCCATCTTTACGATTTAGCCTACCTTGTGACCACATGTATTCTGCTGGAGCTGGTCATATTTTATCTTTTGACCTATTTGGACATTTGTTTCGTTAAGATCTGCACAAGCTTTGGATTAAAGCATCTCTATGATCTGCAAGATGTGGTTTTGATCGAGTCACTGTCTGCTAACGCTACTGAGATTGTAATTATTGCTATCTCTCCACAACTGGAAACGTTATAGAGATCACACTTTCAATGCTTAGACTGGGGAAAGCAGAACAAGGATCAATTACAATGATTGCAATTACTCACTTTGGAGAAGATGCGCTTAGAGTGGACCTTTACCCTCCCTCCATAGCGCTGATATCGGGTTCTTTTATGTTTTATTTGTTTACTTACTGTTTTTTTTCCTTGAAAGGCTCAGCCCACTCCCAAATTCTGGCATTTGCCTAGGTGAATGACGTGGTGTCTCCTGGGAGGCATGATGTACAATCTCATTCATTATAGAGAAGGGGGTGGGCCTAGTGACGCCTGTACCCGGAAGAGCTGACAGCTGTGACAGAAAACATGGCGGCACCAGACCTGTGCAGATGACAGCCACGACAGCTTGAGGAAACTACTGTCGATAACCGGCAGGTGTGTTTACATTGAGATCAGCTGTGATTGGCCCTTTACCATGACATGTATGGGGCGGTTCTGGGAGGATGTCATATGAGCCCCTCCCAGAATTGAACGACCACGCTGTAAATATCATTTGGCTATAGCATGGTCAGCAAGTGGTTAAAGTGGTTGTAAAGGCTCAAGGTTTTTTATCTTCTGTGTGCAATAGTACCCCTAGCCTCCTCAATACTTACCTGAGCCCCATCACGATCCAGCAATGTGCATGACAGCCTTGGCTGTCCCGGGTCTCTGCCTTCTCATTGGCTGAGACAGCAAGCGGGAGCTATTGGCTCCCACTGCTGTCAATCACAGCCAGTGAGCCAGTGAGGAGAGGGGGGCCAAGCCGCAGCTCCATGTGTGCAAATGGATACATGGAGCAGTGGGTGCCCCCATAGCAAGCTGTTTGCTGTGGGGGCACCCGACAGGAGGGAGGGGCCAGTTGATCCTGCGGGGGACCTGAGAAAAGGAGGATCCAAGCTGCTTTGTGCAAAACAACTGCACACAGCAGGTAAGTATAGACTTGTTTGTTATTCCCCCCCCCAAAAAAAAATTAATCTTTAGAATCGCTTTAAGGAAAGGGTTCTCTACTGCTGAAGCAGTTAAGATGTGGAATTCCCTTCCCCAAGAAATGGTACTAGCTGAGAGTGTCGGCAACTTCAAAAAACGTTTAAATGTCTGCCTCAGGAAGCGGAATATATAGGGTATACATGTACACACACAGAGGTTGAATTGAATGGACCTGTCTTTTTACAACCTTACAAGCGATGTAACATAGATGAAATACATATAGGAAGCCATAGAGCTGACAAAGGATTTGTATTTCTGTCAGTGCAGTCCTGAGATTTACACAGCTCTGCAATACAGCAGGGTTGGTGACACAACCTTGTATGTGAGAGCTAAGGAATACAGTGGTGTCGCCTCTCCACCCTCAAACTGTGATGGGACAGTGAAAGGATAAGCAGTAGGCTGATAAGCTCATCTCTCTGCTCACTTTTCTCCTTCCTCCTATCAGCACATTCCCTGCTTTGCTACAGAGACTAATCGGCTCTTTGTGCTGCTTCCTCCTCCCCCAGTATGACCTCTGCTTTACAGGAACCACAAGACACTGATGACAGGTCAGATTCGGGTACTTGCACCTCTTGTATTTAAAAATACATATAATTATTTTTTTAAATATTTTTAAAATTTTTGGGTTTTTTTTTGCAGAGTTTAAAGTGGTTGCAAACCCTTCCATATACCTAGTGAAGTGACTGACCTCAGGTGATACACAGAGATGAAACAAATCCTCCTACATAAGTTGTACCTGTTTATTTGCAGCCATTTGTCCTGTATATCCTTGTAAATCTCAGAGATGAAGATTTTTCACAGACTCACAAAGCAGGGGGCGGGGAGGTACAGTTACACACTGTACAAGAGATCTCAGAGCTGACTGGAGGGAAAGGACATGCCCTCCTTCACACAGCACACAGGAACAGAGCTGAGGCTGTCAATCACAGGCTGTGTGCTGGAGATCCCTCTCCTATTACCTTTTTAGCTCTTGGTTTCAAGAATCAAATGTGACTCATACTGATAGCAGCGGAACTAGACAGCAGAGAGAAATGACACTTAGTGCTCTGGAGAGAGGCAAGTAAACACTATAGAGTGCTATGCTTTGCTCAGATTTCATGTCTAAGGCAGGGGCAGACTGACCATTTGGAAACTTGGGCACTGCCCGAGGGCCCGGGGTCAGTAGGGGAACCCATGGGATGCCCCTGGTACCTTTTTCATAGGCTTTTTTGAGTATGGGCAGGGACACAGGGGCCCCATGATCCCCTATTGCCCGGGGGCCCCATGAGTTGTCATTCCGCCCCTGGTCTGAGGTTTACATCCACTTTAAGCTACAAAGCGTAGACATTCTTTGGTTTTTGTGTGCATTTCCCCTCATTAGGAGCAGTGACCCAGAGAGATATGTACAAAAAAGTTTTTATTAAACAGCACATGTGGAGTTACAGGTTCTATCCTCTATTTTGTTCCTTTTTCCACCTTGGATACAAATTGCTGGACGTCACGGGCGAGCAGTTCGGGCTCCTCAAAGGCAGCAAAGTGCCCTCCGCGGGGCATGTAGTTGTAGGTGACAATGTTCTTGTGTCTTTCTTTGGCCCATACCTTGGGGGTGTGCATCAGCTCACATGGGAAGGCGGCAATGCCGGTGGGAACATACACAGGGGTCCTGCAATACAAAAGACATCAGTGTCACATGGTACAAAAAATTCACCATAGAAAAACAGGGGTCCTAAAACCCAACTGAATTCTCAGACATGCCCCCTGCTGAATCAGAACCAGAGCATTAGATTTCCTGACTGCAGAGCTATCAGTCGGAATTAGAAAGGGGAGTGACAGACCTCTGCGGGGAGACCACTGCTTCCACACAGAGAGCCCTTCTCTGCATCGTCCTGGCTGGGGAAAGGCTTTCCTACTGTATAGAAAACAATCTGTAAGATTTTTCACACCTTTTTGTTTTGGAACGTATTTAGCTGCTTTAAACTGAGTTCAGTCGGCTTTAACCATTCCCTTCTCCATCCAAAACTATGGAAAAAAAAAAGCTATGGCTTTAGATACACTTTAAAGCGGTGCTCCACCCAAAAGGGAAAGTTCTGCTTTAAGGATTGGTCCCCAGCTCCCCGTTATTGGCACCTTTGGGAAGCGGGTACCCAAAATTGACAGGAATTGATTGCAAGTTGTCCTCTCTCCTCCATCCCCGTAGTCTTCTGGGACACGTGACAGGTCCCAGAACACTACAGGACCATTCGCAAAGCGCAGAACTTCTCACGCATGCGCAGTGGACACCCGCCTGTGAAGCCTCTAGCCGGGAACACAGGGCAGCTTGTGAAACAGGCTGCGGGGAGGACACCACAGTATTGAGGGACAGGTAAGTGTCCATTTTTTAAGAGTCAGCAGCTACAATTTTGACCGGCACAAGGACAGGCTCAGGAGAGCTTGGCTTCTTTTCGCCACGCCAGTGGCTGCTGATAAAAGATGCATGCACTGTCCTGTCACCATTTGAGGAGGCCACAAGGATGGTGAGCCTGTGACACTGCATGCATCAGGGACATTATCCCTCTAGTCGTCTGCAGCACACACTGCGTGGAATCATGGACAGGGCCCTAGAGGCAGAATAGCGGGAGGAAGAGGAGGATTTCCTGTCCTTTCAAGGCCCCCTTTATGCAGCGAAGCTAAAGGGATTCATGTGGGGGGCCGCAGGACACACATCAGGAGGAGGAAGTGGAGTATAACAGATGAGGATGGTTACTTACATTGGAGCAATCGGGCTGGATGGAAGTAGGATGAGAGAGGGGCTGGAATAGGTCGCAGTCTGCAAGCCAGGGCGGGTTTTTCAGTTCACCAGAAACCCAGTCGGAGTGGTTATTCGTGGGGGGTGGGAGTTCCTGACAATATCATCCTCAGTGACCCTGATGACCCTCAGATTCCTCCTGCCCCTCAAACTAACGAAGCCTTCCTGCGAGGCTGCAGAACCAGGGGCGGACTGAAGTTTGGAAGCCCAAGGGCCCAGGGTCAGTAGGGGGCCACATGAGATGCAGTCTTCTGGGGCCTTTTCAGTTCCCAGAAACCCAGCCAGGAGTTTGGAAAGGACACAGGGGTAGTTCCTGACCCCTATTGCCTCGTGGGGACCAGATGAAACTATGCAAAGCCTGCGTAAGGACCCGAGGATTCGTGTTATCAAGGAGAGGGATCAATACTGGTTGGGAACCCTCTTGATTCACTTTACAAGGGTAAAGTTACAGAGTTCATCCAGTCTTCGCAGAGGGAGAAAGGATGAAACATCTTGAGGACTCCTTGAGAACACCTTTCCAGACAATGGGAGGTTACCCTTTCCTGGACAATGTATTTCTGAGCCTTTGTTCTGTCAAAGGAAGAGCGGTGAAGAGCCGGATGGCTGACGGATGCCTTTAAACAGTTCTTTATTCCTCAGTGCCCAGGGCTATTAGGTTTAAGCACCCATCAGCAGCATCTGCATCATATGGTGCAGGATTATCTAGGGGCAAGAGCAGACTTGGAGACCTTTCCAACTGAGAATCACTGGGTTACTGGGTCTTGAGGATGGATCACTGGCCAGAACTTGCTCAATACGCCACCGAGCTACTGGCCTGTCCTGCATCCAGCATGCTTTCCGAACGGACATTCAGTGCTGGTGGAGGTTTTGTGATGGATAAAAGAGTGCATCTGTCCACAGACTTCCATTGACCAACTGGCATTTATTAAAATGAATCAGTCCTGGATCAACAGCAACCATCTATCTTGCCCCTGATGCTAATGTAACTGATTAAATTTGTTAGGGATCTGGGATCCCTTGAAAATTGCCTATGCTGCCATCCTATTCCTGAATCCCAATTTTGCTAGCTTCCAACAATTTTTTGGTTTAGGGCACCGCCAACACCCAAGGCCCAGTTTTTTGGCACCTGTTTCACAGGTGCATGTCATTTAATTTTTTTATAACCATTTATCTGTAATTGATAATACAATTTTTAACTGCAGGGCCCATGCCTGCACCCAGCATGAGTAACTGTGATTGGGGTAAAGTGTTCAGGCATCACCAACACCCAAGGCCCAATTTTTCTGCACCTGTTTGGCAGGTGCATCTAATTTTATTTTTTCACCATGTTTCTCTAATTATTAACAATTTTTAACTGCAGGGCCCATTCCTGCGCCCAGCAATACTAAATGTGAGGAGTTACAGTGTTCAGGCACCACCAACACCCAAGGCCCAATTTTTCTGCACCTGTATGACAGGTGCATATAATTTGAATTTTTTAGAGCAGGGTCCAATCCTGCACTTGTCAAGAATAACTCTGAAGGGTTCCGGTGTGAGTCCCGCTGCAGCAGGTTCTATACATTGTACAGATGTGCAACTTCTGCAGGTAGTTTAAAGGGACCCCCCCAGCAATGCTATTTAAAAGAATATTTACATTTTTTTTTACGTTAAGCAATGAAACTGCCCCTTTAAAAACAGTACTTTTTGAAAACAAACAAATTCAGTGATTCATGCCCCTCAGGGCAGTACCCGAGTCCCCATACCACTTTTATGGTCAATACCCTGCATATAAGCCTTCAAAATCGGCACTTTTGAACTTGCAAGTTCAAGTCCCATAGACTTGCATTAGGTTAGATGTTCGCAGCGAACTTTTGGTCTGTTCAAATGTTCTACCTCAAACCAAACTGGGGGGTGTTCGGCCCATCACTACATAAGGGGTCACCATGTCTAAAGCCTGGTACGATGAGAAAATTGGACAAATGATCGTATATTTATTTTCCATGCTAGTCTCATATTGAAAACAAATAGATTACTAAAGTTTGGAAAATTCTTGTATGACAGAATAAAAATTTGGAAGTGATATAATGTATTGTATTGTATTTTCAGACAAAAACTGTACTGATTAAACAAAAATTGTATGATCTGATATTGTACGAGAGAAAGTTTCATGCTTGTCCCTTCAAATAATTTTGGACGAAAGCTGTGTGCTAACGTTCAGATTATCGTACGATCGCTTTGAAAGCCTATACCAGGCTTAAGAATGATGGCTATTTGGAATTGATAAGCTTGATGAGCTGAAAGAAGAAAAGGTTCAGTTGAGTTTTTGGACGGCAACTATTCTTAAGTTGATGACCCTTATCTATCGTTATGGCCAAAAAACGAGATTCCTAATTAAAAGAAATCAGATTCTAGAGTTGAGATTATTATTAACTATTTACTTTGTTCTTTCACCCGAGCTTTCATCTGGTTACCCCATCTTCAAAAACGTATCTCGATGTTACTTTCTTAGAGAGCTCTCTGCACACTATTCCTACATTGTGTACCTGGCTCCCATACTAAACTTGGCAATTTCTGGGTTGCTTGGGTCTTCACCAAAAGATTCCCTTCTGGCTGTCATTTCAGCCCCGGAACCAATCACTGTCCAAATATAAACAAGATAAAGTGTGGCACTAAAATCATACAAATAGTCTATAGATGAATCAACATAAAATGCACATAGACATCAATTGCTGATGAAAGTTCATAAGGTGAGTAAAGTGCTCAAAAAATCATGTGTCTTCTTGGGCCCGGTGGACGTGCATATAAGTGTATAAGCAATGCGCACTCACCAGAAAGCGCATGTAAATGCACATTAGTAATGATTTGATGTCATCTAATAGTCATCATGGGATGATAGCAGGAATCCTAAGCCTTTCATCTATGGGTGGATGGATGGATTCGTCAATATCAGGATCTTCCAGAGTTCCCTTTTATGGGATAGGTGTGTGCAGTCCTCTGTGTCTAGCCTAGGTGGGTAAGGAGGAGCGGAGATCTCTGGCTGTACCTCTCCCGGCCTCTCCCAGGACAGAGGAAGTCTCTGCTTCATTCATACATCCATCCACAAACTTCCCCTGTCTGGAGACAGTCTGTACTCTATGTGTGACGACTCTGATCATCGGGGAGAAGGAGAGCGTCCGGAAAGCATGCAGAGAATCCCTACAAAGACTCCCCCGAGGAGTTTTTTAATTCACAGTGATCCTAACATCCAGAGAGGGAGCCTCCACTAGACACAAAGGACTGCACACACCTATCCCATAAAAGGGAACTCTGGAAGATCCTGATATTGACGAATCCATCCATCCACCCACAGATGAAAGGCTTAGGATTCCTGCTATCATCCCATGATGACTATTAGATGACATCAAATCATTACTAATGTGCATTTACATGCGCTTTCTGGTGAGTGCGCATTGCTTATACACTTATATGCACATCCACCGGGCCCAGGAAGACACATTTTTTTGAGCACTTTACTCACCTTATGAACTTTCATCAGCAATTGATGTCTATGTCCATTTTATGTTGATTCATCTATAGACTGTATGATTTTAGCACCGCACTTTATCTTGTTTGTATTGGAGGTTTTCTTTGGTTACCTTGTGCTTGGCTGCTTTTTTATTTACTTTTTCCATCACTCATTATCTTGCTTACTCAGTACCTTTAGGCGCTCACATTTACCCATATTTCCTATACTGTCCAAATATGGCTGCCCTCTCCCCGTAACATTTTCAAATACGCCTTTTTTCATATCCAATGACAACTCCAAGCTACTACTTAATTCCTTTCTAATCTCTCACCTCAACTATTGCAGCTCTCTTTTCTTTGTGGTATACCTCTACACTATCTCCCCTCTGTGTATCATGAATGCTACTGCCAGACCCATCCACCCTACAAACCGCCCTGCCACTCCTCTCTGCCATTCCCTCCACTGGCTTACTCTTGTCCAATGAATAAAATCAAAATCCTAACAACATTCAAAACCGTCCACCATCCATGTCTTGTAAACTAGATTGTCAACCTTGTCTCAAAATACCACCCAAACCACCCTCTTTGATACTCTTTGATTTACAGGACCTAAAAGCTCTACAGGACCTCCTGCTCTCTAGTTCCCTCATCATCCCCTTCCAGGCTCACCTCCAGGACATCTCCAGTGCCTCTCCCATCCTCTGGAACTTCCTGTCCAAATCTGCTCAGCTATCCCTTCAGGTGAATCCTGAAAATTCTTCTTGTCAGGGTAGCCTATTCCTCCTCATTCTAACAACTGAAGTTCTACTTTCTCCATCAATTCAAATCCACTCTTTTATTACTCTTTGTATCCTTTGCCCCTTCCTTTTAGATTGTAAGTTCTCAGGAGCAGGGCTATAATAACTAATCTCATCTTGATTTGTAATGTAACTGAACTGTCTCCCTGTATATTGTAAAGCACTGCACAAACTGTTGCCACAATCACTGCAGACATTGATAATTTCAAGACTTCCAAAAAAGAAAACTTCACTCAAGGGTTCTAACTGATACAAAGTTATCTTTATAGATTTCCTTATTGTTTTGTTTCAACATTTCTCTCATAGGTCGATTGTCTATTTACCTGGCTACCGGGTGACCTATTAATTACATTACCTTGCGGATGGATTCGTCTGGAAGTCACGGGTGAAGTTTTCTTTGTAAAACCTCATGGAAGACGTGATGGAGCCTGAGACCCAATATATCATCACATTGGTGAGAAGGTCATCCAAAGAGTATTTCCTATAAAACAAACATTTATACATTATTTATCCTAAAGATTATTATTTTTTTTTTTTTTATTTTGCTCCATAGATAATTTAAACTTATGTGATGCTTCTGACCTGTCCAACCCGCCATCCTCCAGTTCTCGGTAGTCTGGATTGGTCCAGGTGGAGAACTTTTCCAGGATATAGGCAGCCAGTCCAGCAGGTGAGTCATTCAGAGCAGAGCCTGGAGAGAGGCAGAACATATACAGAACATTGGACGAATGTGAGGATCTGTATGAACCATCATGTCAAATATACAGTTGTGACCAAAATTATTCAACCCCCACTGAAATTGAGTGTTTTGGCCAGTTTGACATTGCTTTTGATCATTCAGTCATTCATCTTGCTTACATTTACATTAAAGAGGCACTTGTAGGTCAGACAAATATAACATAACAGTTATAAATGAAATAACCACAAATGTCTTTTCTGTGCTCACAGCATTATCAGTTTTATTCAACCCCCAAGTGACATTCAATCTTAGTACTTAGTACAGCATCCTTTTACAGTTATAACAGCTTTTAAACGTGAAGCATAGCTTGACACAAGTGTCTTGCAGCGATCTACGGGTATCTTCGCCCATTCTTCATGGGCAAAGGCCTCCAGTTCAGTCACATTCTTAGGCTTGCGCACTGCAACTGCTTTCTTTAAGTCCCACCAGAGGTTCTCAATCGGATTTAAGTCTGGTGACTGCGATGGCCACTCCAAAATGTTCCAGCCTTTCCTCTGCAACCATGCTCTAGTGGACTTGGAGGTATGCTTGGGATCATTGTCCTGTTGAAAGGTCCAACGTCTCCCAAGCCTCAGGTGTGTGACGGACTGCATCACGTTTCCATCCAATATCTCCTGGTACTGAAGAGAATTCATGGTACCTTGCACACGCTGAAGCTTCCCTGTACCTGCAGAAGCAAAACAGCCCCAAAGCATGATTGACCCTCCACCATGCTTCACAGTAGGCAAGGTGTTCTTTTCATCATAGGCCTTGTTCTTCCTCCTCCAAACATAGCGTTGATCCATGGGCCCAAACAGTTCTAATTTTGTTTCATCAGTCCACAGAACACTATCCCACAACTTTTGTGGTTTGTCCACATGGCTTTTGGCATACTGCAGTCGACTCTTCTTATTCTTTGGAGACAGCAAGGGGGTACGCCTGGGAGTTCTGGCACGGAGGCCTTCATTACGCAGTGTGCGTCTTATTGTCTGGGCTGAAACTTCTGTACCCACATCTGACAAATCTTTTCTCAGTTCCTCAGCAGTCACACGGGGACTTCTCTCCACTCTACGCTTCAGGTAGCGCACAGCAGTCGAAGTCAGCATCTTCTTTCTGCCACGACCAGGTAGCGTTTCAACAGTGCCCTTTGCCTTGAATTTGCGAATGATGCTTCCTAAGGTGTCTCTTGGTATGTTTAACATCTTTGCAATCTTCTTATAGCCATTGCCCTTCCTGTGAAGAGAAATCACCTCTTCTCTTGTCTTCCTGGACCATTCTCTTGCCTTCACCATGTTTGTAACCACACCAGTAAATGTCTAGAAGGAGCTGAGTATCACAGTCATTTTAAAGCTGCCTAATTGGTGCTTATTATGCTTGATTGCTGCTCGGTGACATCCACAGGTGTTTTCAATACCTGATGGAAAGCACCTGTATGAACCTCTGTTCTTCAGAGTGGTAGTCTTTAAGGGGTTGAATAATTGTGGCAATGAAGAAACCACATAAGAACCATTTACTACTGTATTACATAAACAATTGATGTCATTTTAGTTGCATTTGGGTAGTTACAACGTCCTTGTAGGATTTGATTCTGAATACAATTCCAAATGTACACTATAGTCCCTAAACCCCTTTATACAGCATTGGGGGTTGAATAATTTTGGTCACAACTGTAAGTAGTGAATTAAAACTGCATGACACATCGGGTTTGTGACGGGAGTCACTTTGGGTGGGGGGCCCATGGAACATAGCTCACTTTGGAGAGGTGGGGAGACCCCTGTCTCAGCTCCCCATATCCCTCTTATGTGTAAGTCACCCTGTGCCTGTTAGGGGTACAGGGTGATCTGTCCTAATATTGGGGTGGGGGTTGTTGACTGTTTAATGCCATGTGGTTGCATCCCATTGTTCTATTGTGTGTCTTGCTTGGGAGCAAACTATTATGGGATGTATGTGTTTGTGTATTGGCTTGGTGGGGGGTGTTTCCAGCAGCCCTCCCTCCTGATGGGACTGTCTGCTAGTGTGTCTCTTGTTACTAAATGTAGGTTGCCCCGCTCTGTGTCACTATGCAGGGAGGGGGGGCTGTTCCCTTGAATGTATATATCTTGTATCTGTGTTAAAATAGTAGTCTGTTTCCTTGTTTTACTTCAAGCCTGGTGTCGTCTAGTCTTGCATGGTCAGCTGTGGTGTCTCTTGTTGGTGTTCGGGGAAGCGGTATTATAACGGAAGTACCCAAGCGCAGTCGGGGTCCGGTTCCGTTGCACGGTTGACCTACTAAACTGGAGAGTGCAAAGTCTGGTGTAGCTCTGCATAGAAACCAATCAGCTTCCATTTTTTTTTGTCAAAGCTTAGTTGAACAATGTGAAGCTGATTGGCCACTATGCACAACTGTACCAAATTTTGCACTCTCCAGTTTTAGCAAATCAACCCCTTCATCTCAACCAGGAGTAGTGTAAGGACCTTAATGGCCCATCATGTCAACCAGGAGTAGTGTGAGGACCTGCAAGACCCTGCATATCAGTCATGAGTAGTGTAAGTACCTGCATGACCCATTGGGGTTTATTTACTAAAGTTGCAGAGTGCAAAATCAGGCTCATGTCTGCATATAAACCACTCGACTTCAAGGTTTTAATGCCAAAGCTTAACTGAACATGCTGAGGTTAGATGTTGATTGGCTACCATGCAGAGCTGTACCAGATACTGCGTGAACCGGTTTTAGTAAATATCCCCCACTATGTCAACCCAGGGTAGTGTGAGGCCTGTATAACCCACCATGTCAACCTGAGGCAGTGTGAGAGCCTTAAGAGGCCATCACATCAACCAAGAATAGAGTGAGGGCCTGTATGAAACCATCATGGTAACCAGGAGTAGTGTTCAGACCTGTATGACCCATTATGTCATTCAGGAGTAGTGTGAGGACCTGTATGCTCCATCATGTTAAGCAGGAGTAGTGTAAAAACCTGTATGATCCATCATGCTAACCAGGAGTAGTGTGAGGACCTGTATGACCTACCATATCAATCAGGAGTAGTGCGAGAACCTTATGAGCCCATCGTGTCAACCCAGAGTAGTGTGAGGTCTGTATAACCCCCCATGTCAATCAGGTGCAGTGTGAGAACCTTAAGAGGCCATAACATTAACCATGAATAGTGTGAGGGCCTGTATGACCTGTCATGTCAACCAGGAGCAGTGTGAGAACCTGTATGACTCATCGTGTTAACCAGGAGTAGTGTGCAAACCTGTATGATCCATCATGTCAACTAGGAGTAATGCGAAGATCTGTATGACCCATTATGTCATTCTGGAGTAGTGTGAAGACCTGTATGATCCATCATGTTAAGCAGGAGTAGTGTGAGGACCTGTATGACCTACCATATCAATCAGCAGTAGTGTGAGAAACGTATGAGCCCATCATATCAACCGGGAATAGTGTGAGGACCTGTATGACCCACCATGTCAACCAGGGGTAGTGTGAGAACCTTAAGAGGCCATAACATCAACTATGAATAGTGTGAGGGCCTGTATGACCGATCATGTCAACCATCAGTAGTGTGAGGACCTGTATAATCCATCATGTTAACCAGGAGTAGTATGCAGACCTGTATGACCCATCATTTCAACTAGGAGTAGTGCGATGACCTGTATGACCCATCACGCTGTTCAGGAGTAGTGTGAGGACCTGTATGATCCATCATGTTAACCAAGAGTAGTGTGAAGGTCTTTATGATCCATCATAGTAACCAGAAGTAGTGTGACTGAACCTGCATGAATTTGCATATGAAACCTACAACTACAGACACACTAAGCTCACTGTTTACAGGCACCATTTGTGAGGATAGGACAATGTATGAGTCAATGGCCAAGTGAGAAGTAGTCTGAGATTTGGATTTGGGTGAAATTCTAATTCAACCTGAGTTTCCATAGTACAAATTTAACTGAATTTTTTCCTATTTTAATTGCATTGAAGTCAACAGTAACTAGTTTGATGATTCCTTGTGGCCCTTTGGAGGGCTGTAGACAAGCTTTTGTCACCCAAATGGCATGGAAAGCCCACAGAGTTCTTTTGGTTGGGTAGAGTTTGTTGTTACACTTGAGGTGTTTTAGACAATAGGTGTGAAAAAAGGTATGAAAACAGCATCTTGGGAACAGTACAATGGTTACTAAAAATCCCACCTCTAAAGTACTGTGATATAAAGCATTGTCTTCTAGTAACAGAAGGCATTTCCACGTCTTCACTTTCAGCACAGAACCCAAAAAAAGGAGCTCAGTTTCTGCAAATAGGAAGTGGGTGGGGGTCATGCAAATCATTTCTTTTTGCCCCTTGTAGCCATTAGTACATCCAGAACCACTGGTGTAATGCACAGATATAGCCATAAATTTACAAAAAAGTTGATCACAGCTGATCAGAGATTGTTTCTTCTTATCTATAGAAAAAGCAGCTGTCTAAAAGGAACAGCTAACTGAGGAATAAAATGCAGCTGTCTTGCTGATATTGGGTCATTCACTCTATGCTTGCAATTTGAGGCGGTGATCGGCCTGTTATGGATCACATTGGTTATTGATTATTTTTTTTTAGTTTAGACTTATACGTTACAATAGAGAAGTCTTTACCTACAGTATCAGGTTTGGTTGCCTGAATGTGGAGGTATCCCGACTCCCGTAGGATGGCGTACACATTCTTCTCAAAGTACGGGTAGAGGCGCTTGACATCTTCCCTTGTCATGCCCACTAACCATGGCAGATAGCGCCCAAGAAGCAATGAAATGAGCATTCCAAACCCGCCTTTACTGATGAACACCACATTCAGATGGAGTCCTTTGATTGATCTGCAAGAAAAAGAAAAATGCTTCAAACAGTTCATACTCTTACACTAAAAATTCACTGAAGATAACCAAAGGACGCTTCAGATTTTACAGTGCTTGACCTAGATGTTGGGAATTTTTTTTTTTAACAGAGAACATAGTTTGTCTGTCCATCAACTGAACAAAATCCATGGGGGGCGTGGCTGCTTTTGCTGTATTTATAAGGAAATGGAGAAGAAACCCTTTATTTGCCTCCTCCAGTCCTTCTGTCTCTGTACCATGGCACCAATGTGTTGCAATGGCACCTGTGGTTCTATTAGAATGGAGACACTGACCCTGGTAAGGTTGACTCACCATATGGATAAGCATTCATCCTGATTACATGTCTTTCCATGGCCTTTGCAAACACCCACCTTTCATCATGTGTATCTACAGTGGGGCAAAAAAGTATTTAGTCAGCCACCAATTGTGCAAGTTCTCCCACTTAAAAAGATGAGAGAGGCCTGTAATTGGCATCATAGGGAGACCTCAACTATGAGAGACAAAATGAGAAAAAAAATCCAGACAATCACATTGGCTGATTTGGAAAGAATTTATTTGCAAATTATGGTGGAAAATAAGTATTTGGTCAATACAAAAGTTCATGTCAATACTTTGTTATATATCCTTTGTTAGCAATGACAGAGGTCAAACAATTCCTGTAAGTCTTCACAAGGTTGGCACACACTGTTGCTGGTATGTTGGCCCATCCTCCATGCAGATCTCCTCTAGAGCAGTGATGTGTTGGGGCTGTCACTGGGCAACACAGACTTTAAACTCCCTCCAAAGGTTTTCTATGGGGTTGAGATCTGGAGACTGGCTAGGCCACTCCAGGACCTTGAAATGCTTCTCATGAAGCCATTCCGTTGCCCGGGTGGTATGTTTGGGATCATTGTCATGTTGGAAGACCCAGCCACGTTTCATCTTCAATGCCCTGCTGATGGAAGGAGGTTTGCACTCAAAATCTCACGATACATGGCCCCATTCATTCTGTCCTGTACATGGATCAGTCATCCTGGTCCCTTTGCGGAGAAACAGCCCCAAAGCATGATGTTGCCACCCCCATGCTTCACAGTAGGTATGGTGTTCTTTGGATGCAACTCAGCATTCTCTCTCCTCCAAACACGACGAGCTGTGTTTTCTACCAAACAGTTCTATTTTGGTTTCATCTGACCATATGACATTCTCCCAATCCTCTTCTGGATCATCCAAATGCTCTCTAGCAAACTTCAGACGGGCCCCGGACAAGTACTATGGCTTAAGCAGGGGGACACGTCTGGCACTGCAGGATCTGAGTCCCTGGCGGCGTAGTGTGTTACTGATGGTAGCCTTTGTTACGTTGGTCCCAGCTCTCTGCAGGTCATTCACTAGGTCCCCCCGTGTGGTGCTGGATTTTTGCTCACCGTTCTTGTGATCATTTTGACCCCACGGGGTGAGATCTTGTGTGGAGCCCCAGATCAAGGGAGATTATCAGTGGTCTTGTATGTCTTCCACAGTTGATTTGTTCACACCAAGCTGCTTGCCTATTGCAGATTCAGTCTTCCCAGCCGGCTGCAGGTCTACAATTTTGTTTCTGGTGTCCTTCGACAGCTGCTTTGGTCTTCACCATAGTGGAGTTTGGAGTGTGACTGTTTGAGGTTGTGGAAGATACTGATAACAAGTTCAAACAGGTGCCATTGATACAGGTAATGAGTGCAGGACAGAGGAGCCTCTTAAAGAAGAAGGTACAGGTCTGTGAGAGACAGAAATCTTGGTTTGTAGGTGGCCAAATACTTATTTTCCACCATAATTTGCAAATAAATTCTTTCCAAATCAGCCAATGTGATTGTCTGGATTTTTTTTCTCATTTTGTCTCTCATAGTTGAGGTCTACCTATGATGCCAATTACAGGCCTCTCTCATCTTTTTAAGTGGGAGAACTTGCACAATTGGTGGCTGACTAAATACTTTTTTGCCCCACTGTATAACTTTGGTAAACTGTCTTCAGTCCACAGCCATTGGTCGCCACCATGAACAGGCTCATTGGTTGAGATTATCACTCAAGACAAAGATTCCAAGGCTTTGCTTCCCAGAGGCGGTCCCTTATGGTTGGTGTCAACCGGTGCGGTAACACGTGGTGTCACCCCTCCAGAGAGGAAGGAGCGGTGCCGGTGCAGCGGTAAAATGAGTATATCTTGAAGCAACTGCGCATGTGCCGGTTTCAGGCCGAAGAAGCCAATCTCCGACTTTAGCACAGAGCCGGCGATCGGCTTTTTCGGTCTGAAACCGGCATATGCGCAGTTGCTTCAGGGGATACTCATTTTACCGCTACACCGGGGCAGGGGCAGCTGTCACTGTACCGGCATCCTCCTCCTCCTGCACCCCCTGTGATGGAGTCACCCGCTGCAGCCCACACCCTCTTAGGGACACCACTGTTCCCTCCTATAATTACATCAGATTAGTGGCAGGACATTTGCAACACTGATTTCACTCTAGAAACATTGCCCTTCTATACCAGGGCACAATCATACCTTTGATAACTTTCCACTCTTGTAACATAAAGAGGGAGGTCAGGGTACACCATAATAAAATGTTTGCACTAGACCCCTTGTAATTTAGGACTGATGCTTCTCCAAGTCTGTATTTAGGCTCCTTTGATCCAGATCTACATATCCCGAGACTCAGATGAAAATGTGCTATTTATCTCACAATTTCTAAAACTATAACCAGGCTCTGATTATGAAGAACTATAAAACATATAGGGCTTGATTTACTAAAGGCAAATAGGCTGTGCACTTTGCAAGTACAGTTGCTCCAGAGCTTAGTAAAAGAGGTAAAGCTTCACTTTGCAAAGAATACCCAATCAAATGCAAGGAAAGTAAAAAAAACAGCATTTTTGCTTGCACATGATTGGATGATGGCAGTCAACAGAGCTTCTGCGTGTAGGCAGGTGCAGTTCACGTTCTCCACTGTAGATTGTGCTCAATCTGAGTGGAGCTGGAGAGGAAGTCAACTGAAACATAGCTTTTCTATGGGTAGCTGGGTCAATGGAGCAGCATTCCGGTTGGCAGCCATGTGACCCTCTGTGGCCATGTTGGGTCAGTAGGGTCTATATAAAGTCCCTGCCCATGGGTTTTGGCGTGCTTTTTGCAAATGGCTAGTGTAGGGAGAGATACTCCGCTTGTTAGGGAAAGCACTAAGCGGTGGGGAAAGGTTCCAGGTGAGAAGAAACAGGGTAGGGACTCACTAACCTGAAAAGAAGCCTTCCCGCTTAGCGGAGAGGAAAGCAAGGGGAACATAGCTTCTCTATAGGTTCCTGGGTCAATGGAGCAGCATTCCAGTTGGCTACACTGCAGCCATGTGACCTTCTGTGGCCATGTTGGGTCAGTAGGGTCTATATAAAGTCCCTGCCCATGGGTTTTGGCGTGCTTTTTGCAAATGGCTAGTTTAGGGAGAGAGACTCCGCTTGGTAGGGAAAGCACTAAGGGGTAGGGAAAGGTTCCAGGTGAAAAAAACAGGCTAGGGACTCCCTAACCTGAAAAGAAGCCTTCACGCTTAGCGGAGAAGAAATCAAGGGGAACATAGCTTCTCTATGGGTTCCTGGGTCAATGGAGCAGCATTCCGGTTGGCTACACTGCAGCCATGTGACCTTCTGTGGCCATGTTGGGTCAGTAGGGTCTATATAAAGTCCCTGCCCATGGGTTTTGGCATGCTTTTTGCAAATGGCTAGTTTAGGGAGAGAGACTCCGCTTGGTAGGGAAAGCACTAAGCGGTAGGGAAAGGTTCCAGGTGAGAAGAAACAGGCTAGGGACTCCCTAACCTGAAAAGAAATCTTCACGCTTAGCGGAGAGGAAATCAAGGGGAACATAGCTTCTCTATGGGTTCCTGGGTCAATGGAGCAGCATTCTGGTTGGCTACACTGCAGCCATGTGACCCTCTCTGGCCATGTTGGGTCAGTAGGGTCTATATAAAGTCCCTGCCCCTGGGTTTTGGCGTGATTTTTTGCAAATGGCTAGTGTAGGGAGAGAGACTCTGCTTGGTAGGAAAAGCACTCAGTGGCAGGGAAAGGTTCCAGGCGAGAAGAAACAGGCTAGGGACTCATTAACCTGAAAAGAAATCTTCCCGCTTAGGACTGGACCGGTCAGGTTGTATTTTCCACTTCTGAGAGAGATGCTGTCGGCATCTCTCCTCTGCCACATCTTGAACTGAACTGAACTGAGTTATGTCTCTAACCAGCACCCTCCCGCTAGGTTGTTTGCATCCTTGGCATTCTGCTTAATACAAATTTCAGGTTTATTGCAAGCGGACTCTGTGTGTTCTCTGCTCCCCACGTGCTCATTTACTAAGCTCTGGAGCAACTGCACTTTGCAAAGTGCACAGTCTATTTGCCTTTAGTAAATCCACCCCATAATCTACAGATTTATATAAGAACGAAGAAGGAGAGCCTAATCTCTAACAAGTTCTGGAAGTATAACTAGGTTCTGATGATGAAAAACTATAGAACATATGATCTCTCAGGATTTATATAAGAACCTAGATGAAGGAGAGCTTTACATCTCACAAGTTGTAGAGCTATAACTAGACTCTGATAATGAAAAAACTAGAGAACATATGGTCTCCAGATTAATTTCAGAATCTAAAGGATGCCTTTTAATTTCACACGTTCCACAACCAGTCTCTGATGATGATGATGAGCTAAAGAACATATAAGGGGAGATTAACTAAAACTGGAGCACTCAGAATCTGGTGCAGCTGTGCGTGGCAGCCAATCAGCTTCTATGTTTTATAGCCAAAGCTTTATTGAACAAGCTGAAGTTAGAAGCTGATTGGCTACCATGCACAGCTGCACCAGATACTCAGTGTACCATTTTGAATAAATCTCCCCCATAATCTCCAGATTTTTATAAGAATCTAGATGAAGGAGTGCTTTATATCTAACATGTTCTGGAACTATAACTAGGCTCTGATGAAGAAGAACTATAGAACATTTGGTCTCCTGATTTATAGAAGAGCCCATGTGAAGGAAAGCTTTTTATTTACAAGTTCTAGATCACAAAATCAGGCTCTAATGATAAAGAACTGTAGAACTATTGGTCTCCTGATTTATAGAAGAGCCCATGTGAAGGAGAGCTTTTTATTTACAAGTTCTAGATCCAAAAACCAGGCTCTGATGATGAAGAATTATAGTACATATCATCTCCAGATTTAAAAAACCTAGATGAAGGACGGGTATATCGTTCAAACATTCTAGAGATATAACTAAACTTCGATGATGAAGAACCAGGGGCGGGGTGACCATTTGGAAACTCGGGCACTGCCCGTGGGGCCTGGGGTCAGTAGGGGGCCCCATGAGATGCCCCTGGTACCTTTTTCATAGGTTTTTTTGAGTTTGGCCAAGGACACAGGGGCCCCATTATCCCCTACTGCCCGGGGGCCCCATGAGTTGTCAGTCCGCCCCTGTGAAGAACTATAGATCATATGATCTTCAGGTAAGAGCCCATGTGACGGAGAGCTTTATACTTAGCAAGTTCTAGAACTATAACCAGTGCACTTACTCTGGTTTCATCTGGGACATGATGGTGGTGATGAGGCTTCCCCAGTCTCCTCCTTGCAGATAGAACTGACTAAATCCCAGTCTCAGCATCAGCTTGTAGAAGATACGTGCCGCAGAAATGCCGTTAAAGCCTGTGCAGAGAAATATGAGGTATACAGATGTGCTTTCCTGCAATTCCCCCAATCACCCTCCAACATTTTATTTAGAAACAAGCTTTAGACGGCTGTATGGATTTGATATCTGGACCTGGATCTGCTTCAATCTACGATTCCTGATAACACAGACCTCATCTTTACCGAGAGAGGGAACTCACCCTTCTTATGTGGTGCTTCTGAAAAGCCATATCCAGGAATAGAGGGACAGATGACCTCAAAGGTGAAGCTGGGGTCCAAGCCGTGCTTTCCTGGCTCGGTCAGAAGCGGAATAATCCGATAGAATTCATAGAATGAACCCGGCCAGCCGTGAACCATCAGCAGAGGGATGGCTTTCTGTCCAGCGGGGAGGTTTGGAGGCTTGACATGGATGAAATGAATGTTCAGACCTGCAAAGGGCACATAAAATTACATGAAACAGAGGTGCAATCAGAAAATAGTACTGATGCAAATGGTGGAGCATGAGGTCACCAGCATCCCTTCGTGTAGACTTGTCCAATCTGTACACTTTATTCTTTATCGTCTGTATACAGTAAAAAAATTAAAAATGACTTTTTTGCTATAAGTTAAAAATGCCATTCTGACCTCCATCATGTCATGTACAGCCTAAGCAAGGATGACATGATCATGTGGCTACCAGGAGCATTGTGGGTGTTTTATATCATTAGAGTCTATTGTTTCCTTTTACCAGTCAGGAAACCTATATCTACATTTATTTATTGCTGTATATGTAGGCAGGTAACCCATTGCAGTTTAGTTAGGTGCTGTGCCGGACAGGAGGGTTAGAGCTAACTCTGTTCCCGGGTTTTTCTTGGCGGGTTTCTTGGGTCCAACCCACTAATCCTGTGGCAGTAAAAAAGGGACAGGGGTCTGGATCCCTGACCTTGCTTGCTGTGCTGCACTGATGATGCCATCTCCAGAGCCCGTCCTGCAGTCTGCTGTGCTGTTTCATGCCAAGTCCAGATATTGATAAGATCGCCTGGTACTGGAAGCCTACCGCCATGTAACGGGAATTACTGGGACCTGCCGTCCGACCTGAAGTACATCAGTTTCTGGATACTGTCAATCTGTACTTTACCCCTGCACTGGGGCAGCCGCCAGCCTAGTTAGGCATTAGGGACAGTAGGAAAAGACTGTGCACTTTATTTTGTTATGCTGAGAGTTTTCAGTAAAACTTTTAAAACTTTCTCCTTGCCCGGTCTGAAGTTACTAAAGAGGTGTAATGCAAGTAACCGGAACACATATCGTTTCCAGTCTGGGTCAGAAGCACATTGGGAAGAAGACAACAGCACAAGAGTTAACATAATAAAGAGTACAGAAAGTTGTACAGCAAGGGTAACGAAGGTCTAGCGAGCAGCCTGTCGTGAAGCATGTATCTGTGATCGGTGGAACAGCCACTTCCAGCGAGGGAGTTGTTGTCGTTGTGTTGGGCACAGTTACGGAAGAGAGAGAGTTAAGTGAGTGCATGCATGGAGCCAATGCTAGGTGCACGGCAGGATTCCATTCTGTTACTGGGATCAAGGTAACAGAGATGTACTGGACAGTTGGAGTGGGCATAGGCTCAGCATGCCCCTCCTAAATTCGTCATTAGTGGTGTACGTTGACACGGGGAAGGAGAGAGTTAATTGGAGTCTCATTTATTGTTCGTTGGAGTTGGAGGTCTGCCTTAAGGTTGAGTTGTCCCTGAAAGCGTCGTCATGGGTGAGCATGGCACAGTATAGGCTCCCCATGCATAAGGCAAGTGACTGTGGTCAAGGTGGCCAGTGTAGCCCAGAGAAACCCACCCCAGGGTAGACCTCTCATGTGACTTAAAATTGGCCCCCAATAAGGAGGGAAACATGGAGGAAGTACCACCCACCTACTACCCTACCCCTTACATATACAGGATATGTCCTTCTTTGTTCACTTTTATGTATTAACCTTTTCTAGTGAGCCCATGGCTCTTCCATTTATAAAGCACAAAGGTTGAAGTCATATTTTCAGCCACTTTTCTACATTTCTTTATCTTCACAACTTTAGAAGAACATGTTCTTTTATATTAATAATGGTGATAAGAACACACCTTCAATGTTGGTGGTGTAGTGGGGGTATTTGTTGATGATCTCCACCTGTTTGCCCCAATCAAACGTGTTCCTCCAGTATGAGACCACCTTCTTCAATGTTACACTATTCATCCCATAATGGAACTGGGAGTCCTCCAGTGGGGAAAAGTAGCGAGTGCGGTCCAGACGATCATGAAAGTCCTGGAATAAGATAAAAAAACAAAAAATCAGCATTCATGTGTAGCACTATCCCCGTAAGGGCCGCTGGATTTGATTGGGTCCCACTATGCTCTGCAAGGCCAGGCAACACACATTTCCCACTCTTTGCACACTGGAGTCAGTGAACAGTCCTTGAGTTTGGTTTTGTGATTTTATTGAGGGGTTAAACTTGGATAGGGTCTAGGGGTATATGGGATGCCCGAGGAACTGCAGGACTTGAGGACAACTCCTTAGCAACTATGTACAAAGATTCAGATTACCAACAGTCCCTGCTTGAAGAGCACTAAAGGCTCTTAGGTGTACCTCTCAGACCCCAGATGATTCCTTCTCTTCACCCATCTGCCTGAGGGTATCCCTGAGTGATGGGGCCCAGGAGCTGCTAATTGAACAGTTCCAGATGAGAAGCTAGTTTGGTATTGCACCTGATCACCCTCTCCCCTTATCTGGCTCAGGGGTGTAGGAGTACTCACACTGTCCTCTCCTGTTAGCTTAGTGGGTTGGTGATTGCCTTCAAGCCTTACACTGGGCTGGCTCCTTCCCTGCTATACAGGTTGTCCTCTCCAAGAGACGTTGAGGCGGTGGAGATCCTCTTTTCCAGTTACCTGCTTGTAGGTAGGCTCCCCTCTCTGGGGCCCCCTCCCAGGCTCCGCACTCCAGCCTTCCTCTATCTATCTTCCACCTGACACTGCACACTTCCCCCCAGGCTCTGCCACATTTGAGGGTCGCCCTGGTCACCATGCCAAGCCTCCTGCCAGGGGATTGGCCAAGGTCCCTCAAACTTGCAGATCTGGGCCTCCTCCACTTCTCCACCCCTCTACCAGAAAGCTCTCAGGTTTCTGGAAAGGTGGGAGGGCTCCAGAAGCCATGATCTGTTAGAGCCTCCCAGCTTGTCCTGAGGTAACCTCACTACCTCACTCCCCAGGCTCACTCATCCCCAGGCTGCTACTCAGCCTCTATCTAACAAAAACTACCTAACTAACCTGAAGGGCATTGCACATGTACTTAATTTTTTTATTTTTGTAGATCTTTCTCACCTCCTTGAAATTCTCCTAACTTTTCCAGCATTACAGTTTAGGAGGATGGTGGTACACTGCAGTACCAGAGCACCGTCTAACACTAGAATGTAAATTAATTATTGCCTCATGATTGAATCCTCTGCACCACTCTGATAGACAAACAATCCATGATCACAAGCTTGCTTTATGTATCCAAGAGCGCATGCTGATTGTCAGTGGTTTCATCTCTCAGTATTTTATAGTAAATAGTTTGCCTAGTATGTTTGCTAAAGAGACATGTGAATTAATCATTTTGCTGCCAGTCATTTTTATGTTTTAAGTTTTAAAAAAATCTTTTTAGGCCGGAAGATTACTTAAAGCCCCCAAAACATTATATAGATGTTGCACCCTCCTAGAGTAGTGTAGGCTGCTAGGTCAATGTAGTTAGCTCCAATGTAATCAGAGGAGCAGGGGTTAATTAATTAGGGCTGCCCAGTGTCTCACAGGCTGCTGCTCTATTACTTCCTCCTGTCTTCTAGAGGATTCTAGAGTCATAGTGGGGGGAGAACAGGACATGCAGGAACTCCAGCCAATCCCTGGGAAGGTGTGCCCAGTCGGTGGTGAGACGGCTCATAAATAGTCTGAGGCCCAGGGGCAGTGCTAGACTATTTTGCACCCTAGGCAAGACCAGCTACTCACCCCTCCCCCCACCAAACATAGTAAAAAAAAAAAAGTATATAATAATGAATCAACAAACCATGAAACTGCAAAATGTCTTTTAATTTGCAAAAACAAGTGCCATAAGATGCCACCAGCACCAATATTAACGACAAAATCAGTGTCACGGACAGGCTGTATCTGTGGCTGGCAGTGGCAGGGTGACAGTTGCAGTGAGTCGAGGATGATGGATCCACACTCTGACAGATCCCAGGCTGGAACCCCCCAGGCAATGGGGAGAGATAAAACTCTGTTATAGCAGGCAGCCCGGCCCACACACACCTGAACTGACCGATCCCACACAGTGACAGATCCGACACAACACACCACCACCAACACTGACACAGATCAGAAGGCCCAGCAGGCACTAGAAGAGCAGGCTGGGGGATCATGATGATGTCATCACTCACTGACACACAGCACGTGTGACGGTTGGCCGGGCGGGCGGCCGGCCGAGCCACACTCACACAGACACGAGACATCAGGGTCAGACAACACCTTCCTCTGCAAGTGCAGCTCCACCTCTGCTAATGAATGGGAAAAGAAGGGCTGGAACTCCACAGTGATCAGTATGCATCAGCCAGCTTGCTGTAAGGGACTGAGTCTGAGAGGAACACTGGAAGGAGCAGCAGCTCAGCTGCTACACTGGCTCCACACACCTGGCATCTTCCGCTATCCTTTCTTCCTCCCCTCTGCTGCCCCTCCATTCAGCTGAAGGATCATTCATGATGTGGCGGCATCCACCACAGAGAGAGTGCAGGCCTGTGCTGGGCCTAGGCGCCCCTAGGTGGCAGTGCGCCCTAGGTGTCTGCCTAGTTCCTGGGTCCAGTCCTGCTGGAGGGGACCACTGTGCAGGGTGCTCTGCCCCTGGTGCAGATTTGTAGAAGAAGCCATTAGGAAAACACAGAGGTCCCAGCTAGGCTTAGCTGGAGGGGCTATTCGTAAGCTTGAGTCCAGGGATCAAGTTTGGTCTGGAGAAGTTCACTGGAGAGAGTCAGGAGGAAGTTGGTAGGTGTCAGCTGTCCTACGGTGGTCCTATGGTGTTGTGAGATGACATCCCCCTCACTGAGAAGAGCCTGGTGGATATCGGCAGGAGGCAGCAGATGACAATGTGAGTAAGTGACCTTAGAACTAAAGAGTAGTGACTGTGTGTAGCTTTTAAACTCTGGAAGGAGTACAGGTTACTATCAGCAATGAGATCCTGTGGGACATTCCCTTTGTATTGTGCAGCCAGAAGGTTGAGGAGTCCTCACGTTTTTCAGTTCTACAGTTTACTGGGGTATCCCATGCTCCTTCTCCCTATCCAAGTTCATCTTTCCCAATAAAAACCCAAAAAGAAACCCCTAGCCTAGACTGTTCTTTGGAGCCAGTAGAAGAGTAAGGAATATGTGTGCCTGGCAGTGTATGCTCTAAGTGGGGAAATAGGACCAAATTCACCAGCAGCTCCTATGGCGGTGCGCCACATACACTGTATATATACAGTATTCTGAAAGCAGACACCCTGGAGAATAAAATGGAGGTAATTCCAATTTTTTATGTCATGCAATATTAACGCAACAGTTTATCAAGCACAAAATGTAATAAACAAAATATACAACAACGTTAGCTTTTGGGCACACAAATGCAATATACTACTATAATTGTTTTGTAAAATATAACAGATGGGGTTGCGCTGAGTAAATACACACCAAACATGTCAAGCCTACATTTTTCCACAGGGGTTGCTTTAAAAGTCCTTACAGGTCATCAGTTTAGAGTGAACAACAGGCCTACACATTAACATGTGTTCAGATGTCCATATTAAAATAGGGTTTTTGAAGTCATATACTGTCAGATTATATTGCCACCTACAGGAGGATTGGACGCCACCAAACAAAAAATATGGAAGCCCAAGATAACCCCTCCTCTGCCCAGCATTCCTCAGCTTGTAGCAAAGCAGTACCAAGAGCATGATTGTGTGCAGGTGAAGCGTGGTGCAGTGGCAGTAAATACAGAACTGTACTGAAGTAAAAGTTCAGTAATGCACATAAACGGGAAGACAACCTGATTGGGAGCACTCACAGGATGTACAGCGATGAGTAGTACTAGTAGGTCTCAGGTGTGCCGACAGCGTCTGTCTCAAGGGGCGGCATTCAGCCTGCCCTGTCCGTACCCAAGTACGGAGGCTTCCAGGAAGGACAGCATGTCCCTGCACTTTTCTTACTCAACTGGAACCTCTCCCTGACACCAAGCACTGTCCCTGACAGACGAGTGACCTGTTCCTACTCTATAAAAATGTAAAGAGCCAGGAGCCAGGGTCTTACATAGACTCTGCCTGATACAAGATGGCTGCCATAGTCACATTGGATGCCAACATCCAGTTGGATGCTGCCTCTCTGTGACCGAGGAGATCATAGAGGAGCAGGCACTGTCCCTGACAGACGGGTGACCTGTTCCTACTCTATAAAAATGTGAAGAGCCAGGAGCCAGGGTCTTACATAGACTCTGCCTGATCCAAGATGGCTGCCATAGTCACATTGGATGCCAACATCCAGTTGGATGCTGCCTCTCTTTGACCGAGGAGATCATAGAGGAGCAGGCACTGTCCCTGACAGACGGGTGACCTGTTCCTACTCTAAAAATGTGAAAACCCAGGAGTCAGGGTCTTAAATAGACTCTGCCTGATCCAAGATGGCTGCCAAAGTCACATTGGATGCCAACATCCAGTCGGATGCTGCCTCGCTGTGACCAAGGAGATCTAGAGGAGCAGGCACTGTCCCTGACAGATGGGTGACCTGTTCCTACTCTATAAAAATGTGAAAACCCAGGAGCCAGGGTCATAAATAGACTCTGCCTGATCCAAGATGGCTGCCAAAGTCACATTGGATGCCAACATCCAGTCAGATGCTGCCTCTCTGTGACCCAGGAGATCATAGAGGAGCAGGCCTCCTTCAGACTTCCTCCTGCACCTGCATTGCCACTATGGATGAGCGCCACCTGCAGTGTAGAAAATAGACTGCACCTGACTACATGATTATAAACACAGAATGGTGGGACCTGTGTTCCTCAGTGGACTCCAACAAAAAGGATTTTACAGTGAGCCCAAAAACCTACTCATCCATTGAGAGACACAGGTAGTTATGTACTGTCGAGACATCCAAAGCCAGTCCAACTAAGCCCAAGAGCTGCTTGTAGGGGTAGTGTCCAAATCTGAGACCACATGATGCCAAACCCCCTGCCTGATAGGGGAACCTGCCAACATGTCCAGAAGAAGGACAAGGAGAATCAACCTAATGCTCAACACCAAGGAAATGACTCAAAACGGGTGGGAGCACCAACCAAAGGCTAAGTGAAAGGCTGGGCAAATTGAAACCACTGAGAGGTGAAGCAATAAGAATTTCCTATTGAAGAAGGACAACATCAACATGGGTAACAAGGAAGAAATCAAAGAAAAAAAGCTAAAAAGAAACCTAGTAAACTATTCTCAGCAGAGCTGAAGAAAAGATGTCCATCATTCTAGGATATTTGCAACAAACTGAGGCATGCCAGGTAGAGGGGGTTATCCTGGGCTGATCTACATATCTTTTTTTACCACGAGATGAGGAGGAACCTTCTGCCTGATAGAGGAACCTGCCAAGACAACCAGGAGGTTGTACGCAGGCCAGAGTACTTGGTGTCATTCTGGACTCCAACCTATCCTTCCAGCCCCAAGTCCAATCTTTAACAAACTCATGCAGACTCCACCTCCGCAACATCGCCAAAATCCGCACGTTCCTAACCCCAGAAACCACTAAACAGCTCATCCACTCCCTCATCATATCACGACTCGACTACTGCAACTCCCTCCTCACTGGCCTGCCTCGCCGCTGGCTATCCCCGCTTCAGTCCATCCTGAATACGGCTGCCAGACTCATCCACCTTTCAACCGCTTTCCAACCCCTCTGCCAATCCCTCCACTCTCCACTCAGTCCTCCACCCCCCTCTGCCAATCCCTCCACTGGCCTCACACTCAGTCCTCCACCCCCCTCTGCCAATCCCTCCACTGGCTTCCGATTGCGCAACGGATCAAATTCAAAATCCTAACACTGACGTACAAAGCCGTCCACCACACTGCCCCGAACTACATCACTGACCTAATATCCAAGTACAGCCCAACACGCACACTCCGCTCCTCACAAGACCTCCTTCTCTCTAGTTCCCTGGTCTCCTCCTCCCATGCCCGCCTCCAGGACTTCTCCAGGGTGTCACCCATCCTCTGGAACTCCCTGCCCCAACCCATCAGATTATCACCTACTCTCCTCTCCTTTAGGCGCACCCTGAAAACCCACCTCTTCAGGGAAGCCTACCCCACCCCCTGCTAACCTGCCGACCTCCTCCACTCTTCCTACCACTCCATTCCCCACAGCTATCTCCTCCTGTGCCACCATCCCCTCCCTCCTAGATTGTAAGCTCCAAGGAGCAGGGCCCTCGATCCCCTCATGTTTTGCATTGTATTGGTATTGTTCTGTCACATGTTCTGTCCCCCTTTGTAATGTACAGCGCTGAGCGAACTATTGGCGCTTTATAAATACTGTATAATAATAATAATATAGGAGAATCATCCTAATGCTCAACACCAAGGAAAATATTTGGTCTCCAACCAAGAAGAATGACTCAACTCAGAAGGAATCACCGACCAAAGCCGATCGAAAAGCTGGGCAACCTGAACCCACCAAGAGGTGGAGGAATACATATTTCCCTTTAGAGAAGGACAAACCCAACATTGTTGACAGGGAAGAAGTTACAGCTGACGAAAAGACATCCATCAATCTAGTACACTAGCAACAAACTGAGGCATGCTGGGTAGAGGAGGGGGTTATCCTTGGCTAGCTTACAAATGTTTTTTTCCAGTTTCCAATCTTCCTGTAGGCAGCAATATATACCCGTAATATATGACCTTCCTGTGTCCCTCAATGAACGGGAAATAAATTGTTGTTTGGGTGGGCATGCAGCAAAGTCCTGCAGGTCTGGGAAGCCAGTTTGGCACCAGAGCACACAAATATGTGACTTTTATGAAGGCAATAAACTTTTTTTTTTTTTTCAAAAGTGTAATAAACATATTATAGTGAATTATTGTTAACACTTGTGACTGTGTAGGCAGTGCCCATCCCCCAGAGGAAGACATGGCTTTTCTAGGTGCCCAGGGATGGGGTGTGGATGGATCACACCCAGCACAGTTCAGTCTGAGTTTAATACACACCTGACACACTGATGGAGAAAGGAGTCCTTAGCTGATTCCTGTGTGCCACGTCTGCTACCATTACTACACCAAGCAAAGGTGTGTCCCCCTCTCCCAGCAGTGCCACTTCCATGGTAGGGAACATGTAACGATTGGCAACTGCAACTATAAGGTACACTTTTATAATGGGAGAATAATGCAGAAAATACAGGATATTCATTATGTGAGGGGCAGAGACACAAACTACTGGGGGGAAATCTCCCCACTGTGGGAGGGGCAGAGACACAAACTACTGGGGGGAAATGTCCCCATTGTGGGAGGGGCAGAGACACAAACTACGGGGGGAAATCTCCCCATTGTGGGAGGGGCAGAGACACAAACTACTGCGGAAATCTCCCCATTGTGGGAGGGGCAGAGACACAAACTACCGCGGGAAATCTCCACATTGTGGGAGGGGCAGAGACACAAACTACCGCGGGAAATCTCAACATTGTGGGAGGGGCAGAGACACAAACTACTGCGGGAAATCTCACCATTGTGGGAGGGGCAGAGACACAAACTACTGTGGGAAATCTCCCCATTGTGGGAGGGGCATAGACACAAACTACGGGGGGAAATTTCACCATTGGGGGAGGGGCAGAGACACAAACTACTGTGGGAAATCTCACCATTGTGGAAGGGGCAGAGACACAAACTACTGCGGGGAAATCTCCCCCTTGTGGGAGGGGGCAGAGACACAAACTACTGCGGGAAATCTCCCCATTGTGGGAGGGGCAGAGACACAAACTACTGCAGGGAAATCTCACCATTGTGGGAGGGGCAGAGACACAAACTACTGCAGGGAAATCTCCCCATTGTGGGAGGGGCAGAGACACAAACTACTGCAGGAAATCTCCCCATTGTGGGAGGGACAGAGAAACAACTTGCTGCAGGAAATCTCATCATTGTGGGAGGGGCAGAGACACAAACTACTGGAGAAATCTCATCATTGTGGGAGGGGCAGAGACACAAACTACTGGAGAAAGTCTCATCATTGTGGGAGGGGCAGAGACACAAACTACTGGAGAAAGTCTCATCATTGTGGGAGGGGTAGAGGCACAATTTACTGATCAGATCTGAACTTTCTTTCCAGCAGCCAGAACAACGAAATCAACTTCTGTTCATTTATTTTGAATTTCCAATACTTTGCATTGACTTTCTGTCTTATGAAGCCCAATAATGCCATTATCTGTTAGGTGTTCCATTTTTACCTTTATAACATCTTCAGATACCTCCACCCGGAATGGATTGATCTTGGTGTCCTCCTTCTCGGTGGGCTTCTCTCCGTGTCCCCACCATCCATCCCCCATGTCTATAGTTTTCCTTTGGCGTCCACATAATAGCCAACAAAGTGCGGCACCGCCGACCCCAACTGGAACCAGAGCGCTGTACGGCCAGTGCTCATTGAAGGCCGACCTATAAAGGAACACAATGGCATCATTTACCTAAACTTGTATAAACATCTGTCCAGTTGGCATTATCCACTATAAAAGAAGGGAGCAGTATATAGGGATAGATTTTATGTAAAAGGATTGATGGATCTTAAGGCAGAGTACCAGCAGCAACGAGTTCCACATTCCATGACTGTAAGAAGGATAAAAGTGCCAAAGATCCTATAATGTCAGTCCAGTAAATCTTTCATGTATATGAGACGAGGTCACAAGAAAAAAGCTAATGCATTTAGGTGGCTCAACTTTCCCCCTTCATCAGGGCTTAGGTGCTGACAGTAAATAGAGTGAAATGATGAAATGCTTACATGCTGACAGTAAAAAGAGCAAATGCTGGACAACATATTGGTTTGCCAGTCTACCTGCTTGACCAGTGATCCGAAAAAGCACCACTTTATTCCTTTACTTTACAATATGTTCCCCAGTAGTCACCCTATTTACTGTCAGCATACAAGCCCTGATGAAGGGGGAATGCTGGGTCCTTGAAACACGTTGGGATTTTCCTATGTGCAATAAAGATTTACACATTATATCTTTGGCTTTCTTATCCTTCCTTGCCAACCGCACTCCTCCAGTAACCCTAAACAGTTTTTTCCTTTCTTCTTGGATTTGGCCCCCCATGGTTTGGTGACTTTTTCATATTTTGGGTTAGTGATATAGACACTCCCCTGATGTTTTAGGTTACTTTGATGCCTGGGGATTACTTTTTGGAATAGTTGTTGGTATTTGGATGTGGCACACTTGGCCTAATAGTGATAACCTGAGAAGATTACTCTTTGATACCATATATTGGATGACAACTCTATCCTGATCTTCCCTTTTTGGCGGTCTAAGGTGAGATCTTGAGTAGATGAGGGCATGATGCTTGCTGGCCCATATTAGTAGAGCCATGAATGTTTTGTGTGTTTTTACAGAATTTTACTGTGTCCACTATTAACTATCTCTTGGGGGACCTTGGTGGGGGAAGTTCTTTCCCCTATGAAAAAGGTAACTTTGAAACAAGGGTCCAACTTCAAGATATATCTGTATGTGGTTTAGACGGGTATCATGGCAATATATGCCCATGCTTTGAGGTATGTGCTTGATCCTGACCTCTTTGGTCAGTCCCAACTTGGATCACTCTACATGCTAAGATTTTCCTGGCCCTGGCATTTTAGTTGGAGGGGAAGGAGGTGGTGGGCTTTGGGATTTAATTTTTGGGCCCCTTTTCCCTTACGACCCCCCCACCCTCCTCCTTCCCTTTTTTTCCTCTTTCTTTCTTTTTCCTCCCATTTTTTGTCCTTATTACATTTTGCTTTGTTACATGAATGTATCTTAATTGTTATACTTTATTCGATGATTGCACCTTTTATTGATTCTAGTGGTTCATCTCAAGCGTGGATCCTGAGGAAGTAAACGTAGCAAATGTAGCAAAATGCGTCGGTCCAATACGCTTTTGAATATTTCCACAGTGCCAAAAAAAAATATAAACCGTGTGATCTTCTTAGACTTCAAGACTGTATAATTGAATTTATGAAGTCATTCTTCTTTTTAACTGGAAGAACCAATAAAACTGTAAATTCTTTTTATGTTATATTAATTTGTATTGTATGTTTTTCCCATTGAAAGGCACATATAAATTCTCACTTTTTTCGCATGAGACACCCTCACCCTGGTCTGGGGTGTGGTTCCCCACTCCTATGCTACTTTTTTTTTCTATGCAAAGTGTTGGGATGGTGCCAAAATGTGAACATCTATACTTTGGGTGGGGGGCTCATGGAACACAGCTCACTTTGTAGAGGTGGGGAGACTCAGCTCCCCATATCCCTATTATGTGTAAGTCACCCTGTGCCTGTTAGGGGCACAGGGTGATCTGTCCTAATATTGTGTAGATGTCAGGACAAGAACGCTGGAATGGGCAGGCAGGCCTATTAACATGTAACGCACTGGCTGACGACAACCACCACCCACAGACCGAAGTCCTTCAGGGCGCGGAGTCCAAGTCCCAGGCTGCCCTTTACCAGGGCCCCTGATGGTGGGGATGGACTTGACGCAGCCAGGAACCAGGTCGCGGCCCCCGAGACACCCCAGTTGCGGTAATGGCCGCCGCCAATGGCGTGTAGCTGGTGGAACGGACAATAGAGTAGTCGGGCAGGCCGGGTCGACAACAATGGGACAAAACGGTACAGGACAGCAGACGAGAATCACAGGTCACGGGCCGGGTTCAGCAACGGAGGGTCAGATCAAAGGAGAACACAAAGAATGGTCGAGTCACAAGCAAGAGTCAGATTCCAGGAGAGTCACGAGAGTCAGAACAGAGCTGTAGCGACACAAAGACACAAGACACAAGTGCAAAGGGCATGTGCGGACCACAGGCTTATATTTAATCAGCCACACCCCTCTGGGGGATGGACCTCAGAGACCTGAAGGCATAAAAGATTCCCACCATGCTCTGCAGAAATCCAAGATGGATGCCAGCACATGAGAATAACATAACCTCAGGGAAAAGGTAGGACCTTGACAGTAGACATGTATAGGTGGGGTGGGGGTTGTGGATTGTTTAATGTCATGTGGTTGCATCCCATTGTGCTATTGTTTGTCAGGCTTGGGAACAAACTATTATGGGATGTATGTGTTTATGTGTATTAGCTTAGTGGGGGGTGTCTCCAGCAGCCCTCCCTCCTGATGGGGCTGTCTGCTGGTGTGAAGTTTGAATACCTGTGTGTCTCTTGTTACTAAATGTAGATTGCCCACCCTGTTTCATCATGCAGGGAGGGGGGACTGTCCCTTGAGTGTATATATATCTTGTATCTGTGTTGAAATAAACTAGTTTTACCTTCTGGATTACTTCAAGATTGGTGTCATCTAGTCTTGTATGGTCAGCTGTGGTGTCTGTTGTCAGGTGTTCAGACGGGGAAGCGGTAATCTAACGGAAATACCCAAGTGCAGTCTGGGGTCGGTTCCGTTACATATACTATGCTCCAAGCACACAGATTTATATAACCCTACACAGTCCATATTTTAGGAGTTTCTCTTGGATAAAATAGCTGCCGTAAATACTAATCCATTTGCATTGATTTAAAGCCCCCATGCAAGGTGAAGGAAATCCTGAAAACATGACCTGTTGGGGGTACTTGAGGACTGAGGTTCGGAATCACTGCTTTAGACTATTCCAGGGGACCGTCAGGGTTACCTTGGCTAACAGAGATCTGCCTCTAAAATTTGGACCAAAGGTTGTATCCCTCTTGTTGTAAGTCCTGTGCTCCGCTAACACATCTATTATAGTTCTCCTGTGACAGATGCATTATTATTAAACTGACAGGTATTTGTTGATGATTTGTTCTTGTGTGTCAGTAAATACAATAGAATTTAGCCCCGGCCCTTTAAGGGTTTCAGAACCTGGGAGGCGGGTTTAGGGTCACGCCGTCACGGCGGTCACATGATCGGGAAAGGTCCCGATTGAAAGAGGAGATCAGGACCTTTCCGTGAGTACCAGACATGTGTGCTGGGAGCGTGCAGGGCGCGCGCTCTCAGCACATATGTTCTTTTTTAGTAGAACGCAAATGTGCGGGCCGCTCGGCGTCTAGGCCCAGATTCCGGGATGCCGCACATTTGTGTTCGGCCGGCGTGAAGAGGTTAAAAGGAATGGAGAATGTTCTCAGAACAGTTATAACAACTGGAATGGGAGCTCCAGGAAATCAGCTAAATACGCAGATGAAATAAATATGTGGTAGAGGCCATAGAGTTTGTATTCTTTTCCATCCAGTCCTGAGATTAACACAGCTCTGCAAAACTGTACAGCCAGATTGGAGACCTGATCTTTCTTCTCAGTAACCCTTATCGGTCTTGCCCCTCCCCCAGTCTGTGACTGGATGGAAAGAAAGGGAAGCAGCAAGCTGATGAGCTGAACTCTCTGTCACTCTGTTCTTTCCTCCTATCAGCTTGCTCCATGCTGTGCAGCACAAATGATTGGCTCCTTTTGCTGCTTCTTCCTCACCAAGTTGGGGATCTGACTTTTTTCTGCTGGAGCTAAGCAATGCACCTAAACCTTCTCCCTACTCCCAACCTGTGAGTGGACAGTGTAGGAATAGCAACAGGCTATCAAGGTCATCCCTCTGCTCTTCCTTCGGTCAGCACATGTGAAAGCAGGACACTTGATTGGTGCCAAATACTGCCTCTCCCTACCAGTCTGAGTGCTGCTGTACAGGGATTCAAAGAAGCTCAATTCAATATATACTGTAAAGCGGGGGGGTCAGCAGCCCATCGACTGCAGGCAGGTGATGGTAGACCGCGAACAGGGAGAGGATGAACCTGACGGAGGATTGTCCTCCTTCAGAACCAAGAACTGTGCAATGCAGTGGCGTCCCTAGGCAGGTGTGGGGGGTGCGCGCCGCACTGGATGACACCTATCGCACGGGGTGACACCAGACCCGCTCCATGATAAAGTAAGTTTTAAAGCAATCTGACGATCGGATCTGCAGATTGAGCATAATAGATTCCGATCCAATATGCTCCCCAATCCGCAGATCTGATCCATCCTGCGAGGATCATCAGATTGCTTTAAAACTTACCTTTTTGTGGAGAGATCAGTTAACCCCGTATAGGTTGCAAGCAGGGGCGGACTGACCATTTGGAAACTTGGGCACTGCCCGAGGGCCCAGGACCAGTAGGGGGCCCCATGAGATGCTCCTGGTACCATTTTCATAGGGTTTTTTGAGTTTGGGCAAGGACACACAGGGGCCCCATGATCCCCTATTGCCCGGGGGCCTCATGAGTTGTCAGTCCGCCCCTGGTTGCAAGCTGACTCCGATCCATTATGCTCAATCCGCAGATCCGATCCATCCTGCGGGGATCATCGTAGGGGAGACACCAAGTGTTATTGCATCGGGTGACACCAACCCTAGGGACGCCCCTGGAGCAATGTACACCTCCAGGAGATAGCATTATAGATAAGAGGAAACCAACAGACTACAATGTAACAAGTGGGTCTTCTTGTTACATTGACTTTCCTCTTACCTGCCATTCTCAAGGACTTGTCTCCACATGACTCCTTCCTGATCTGATGGGACTTTACCCTGTGGCTCTCTGGGTAATAGAGCGTCAGCCTCTCGTCTCTCCGCCTCTGTGTGTACAAAGGAGAAATAGAACAATAAACTGCAAATTAGAGAGAGATCACATGACACCAGTACAGAGGATGTATGATCTCCGACATAGAAGGGAGACACTTCTCTTCTGTTACAAGGGGTTAAATGTTACTCTGGTGTCACTGCCTCCCCGTCCCTCCTCTGGGATAACACCCAGCCATGTGACAGCACTTGGCAATGGTAGGGGTAACCCCTTCCTGGCCACGGTAGCACGTTTAAAAGGCCAGTCCACCGAAAAGGTACTGAAGAGTTAATAGTGAGATCTCCGCACTGTATTCCTGGGTCTGTGCACCCTCCATTCCCAGTATGAGGGGTCCCCGCTGTCCCTGCAGTTCTAGGTCTGCCCACCCTCCATTCCCAGTATGAGGGGTCCCCGCTGTCCCTGCAGTTTCTAGGTCTGCCCACCCTCCATTCCCAGTATGAGGGGTCCCTGCAATTCCTAGGTCTGCGCACCCTCCTTTCCCAGTATGAGGGGTCCCCACTGTCCCCGCAGTTCCTAGGTCTGCGCACCCTCCATTCCCAGTATAGGGGGTCCCCGCTGTCCCTGCAATTCCTAGGTCTGCGCACCCTCCATTCCCAGTATGAGGGGTCCCCGCTGTACCCGCAGTTCCTAGGTCTGCCCACCCTCCATTCCCAATATGAGGGGTCCCCGCTGTCCCCACAGTTAATAGGTCTGCACACCTTCTATTCCCAGTATGAGGGATCCCCGTTGTCCCTGCAGTTCCTAGGTCTGCGCACCCTCCATCCCCAGTATGAGGGGTCCCCGCTGTCTCCACAGTTCCTAGGTCTGCGCACCCTCCATCCCCAGTATGAGGGGTCCCCACTGTCCCCGCAGTTCTTAGGTCTGCACACCCTCCATTCCCAGTATGAAGGGTCCCCGCTGTCCCTGCAGTTCCTAGGTCTGCGCATCTTCCATTCCCAGTATGAGGGGTCCCCGCTGTCCCCGCAGTTCCTAGGTCTGCGCATCTTCCATGCGCATCTTCCATTTCCCCCAGTATGAGGGGTCCCCGCTGTCCCCGCAGTTCCTAGGTCTGCGCACCTTCCATTCCCAGTATGAGGGGTCCCCGCTGTCCCCGCAGTTCCTAGGTCTGCCCACCCTCCATTCCCAGTATGAGGGGTCCCCGCTGTCCCCGCAGTTCCTAGGTCTGCGCACCCTCCATTCCCAGTATGAGCGGTCCCCGCTGTCACCACAGTTCCTAGGTCTGCGCATCTTCCATTCCCAGTATGAGCGGTCCCCGCTGGTCCCCGTGTCCCCGTTGCCCTGCAGTTCCTAGGTCTGCGCACCTTCCATTCCCAGTATGAGAGGTCCCCGATGTCCCCGCAGTTCCTAGGTCTTCGCACCTTCCCGCTGTCCCGCAGTCTGCGCACCCTCCATTCCCAGTATGAGGGGTCCCTGCTGTCCCCGCAGTTCCTAAGTCTGTGCACCCTCCATTCCCAGTATGAGGGGTCCCCGCTGTCCCGCCTAAGTCTGCGCACCTTCCATTCCCAGTATGAGGGGTCCCGTTGTCCCCCCAGCAGTTCCTAAGTCTGCGCACCCTCCATTCCCAGTATGATGATGAGGGTCTGCACACCCTCCCCCAGCTGTCCCCGCAGTTCCTAAGTCTGCGCACCCTCCATTCCCAGTATGAGGGGTCCCCGTTGTCCCCGCAGTTCCTAAGTCTGCGCACCTTCCATTCCCAGTATGAGGGGTCCCCGCGTCCCCGTCCCCGCAGTTCCTAAGTCTGCGCACCTAAGTCCACCCTCCATTCCCAGTATGAGGGGTCCCCGTTGTCCCAGCAGTTCCTAAGTCTGCACACCTTCCATTCCCAGTATGAGGGGTCCCCGCTGTCCCTGCAGTTCCTAGGTCTGCATACCTATAGACCAAACTGTCCAGAAAAAATGGCAGTTAAGAGGGTTAAAGTTGTAAAGGTTCAAGGTTTTTTGCCTTCATGCATTCTATATGAGAGGTGCAAGAACATTCATAGAGAGTAAGGCTCCGTTCACACCTATGCAGTTTGCCTTTTGTCCATTTTTCTGTGTTTTCCGCAGTTCCTTTTGCATTTTTCTACACAAGTTTTTGCCGCATTTTGCATTTTGTTCAGCTTCTTTTTTTTTAAAGTGTAATTTTTTTTTTGCTGGGCAGAATAAAAATGAAAAATGCAAATTGAGGCAAAATCGTGGCAAAATCGCACTGCCGCGCATTTCAGCAGATTCTCCCATTGAACTCCATTGTAGCAAAAACGCTGCTTTTTGCTTTAAAAAAAAGTCCCGGACCCTTTCCAAAAAACGCAGCGGGTGAAAATGCACACGTGTGAACATGTCCCATAGGAGATCATGTTAAAGCGGAGTTCCAGCTGAAAATAAAAGTCACCAGCTTCTAAAACTGTAGCTGCTGACTTTTAAAATACAGACAGTTACCTGTCCCTCGGTCCAGCGGTGTCCTCGCCAGGGCTGGTTTCACCGGCCGTCTTCTCTCCCTGGTGCCGGCATCTTCAGTGTGGGCACCCGGCTGTGACAGCTTGCGGCTTCACAGCCGGGTGCCCACGGCGCATGCGCAAGTATCGCTGCATTTTGTGAATGGCCCCGTAGTCTTCTGGGATCTGTCATGTGTCCCAGAAGACTACGGGGAGGGAGGGGGGAGGACGACTTCCGCTTCCGACTGCCTAGGCCAGTGGTCGGCAAGCCGCGGCTCGCGAGCCACATGCGGCTCTTTACAAACTTAAATGCGGCTCTTCTGTGTGCCGGGCGCCCGCTCCCCTCCCTCCTCTCGGGCGGCTGCCCCAAAAGTCAGGACTCTGCAGCTGTCAGGATGTAGGCGGGGCAGCCAGGATGTAGGCGGGGCAGCGTGACGAACTCCTCTCCTCTCACAGTCCGCCCTGAAGACCAGAACGGCGCGGGAACACAGCGAGAAGAACGCGCGGAGCAAAGGTAAGTGAATTGACACAATATGGGGAATGAATTACTATAGGGGGATGAATTACTATAGGGGGGATGAATTACTATATGGGGGATGAATTACTATGGGGGATGAATTACTATATGGGGGATGAATTACTATATGGGGGATGAATTACTATGGGGGATGAATTACTATATGGGGGATGAATTACTATATGGGGGATGAATTACTATGGGGGATGAATTACTATAGGGGGATGAATTACTATATGGGGGATGAATTACTATATGGGGGATGAATTACTATGGGGGATGAATTACTATATGGGGATGAATTACTATATGGGGGATGAATTACTATATGGGGGATGAATTACTATATGGGGGATGAATTACTATGGGGGGGATGAATTACTATATGGGGGATGAATTACTATGGGGGATGAATTACTATATGGGGGATGAATTATATGGGGGATGAATTACTATGGGGGATGAATTACTATATGGGGGATGAATTACTATATGGGGGATGAATTACTATATGGGGGTGAATTACTATATGGGGGATGAATTACTATATGGGGGATGAATTACTATGGGGGATGAATTACTATATGGGGGATGAATTACTATGGGGGATGAATTACTATGGGGGATGAATTACTATATGGGGGATGAATTACTATATGGGGGATGAATTACTATATGGGGGATGAATTACTATGGGGGATGAATTACTATGGGGGATTAATTACTATGGGGGATGAATTACTATATGGGGGATGAATTACTATGGGGGATGAATTACTATATGGGGGATGAATTACTATGGGGGATGAATTACTATATGGGGGATGAATTACTATGGGGGATGAATTACTATATGGGGGATGAATTACTATGGGGGATGAATTACTATATGGGGGATGAATTACTATGGGGGATGAATTACTATGGGGGATGAATTACTATATGGGGGATGAATTACTATATGGGGGATTAATTACTATGGGGGATGAATTACTATATGGGGGATGAATTACTATATGGGGGATGAATTACTATGGGGGATGAATTACTATATGGGGGATGAATTACTATGGGGGATGAATTACTATGGGGGATGAATTACTATATGGGGGATGAATTACTATAGGGATGAATTACTATATGGGGGATGAATTACTATGGGGGATGAATTACTATATGGGGGATGAATTACTATGGGGGATGAATTACTATGGGGGATGAATTACTATATGGGGGATGAATTACTGTATGGGGGATGAATTACTATATAAGGGATGAATTACTATGGGGGATGAATTACTATATGGGGGATGAATTACTATAGGGGGGATGAATTACTATATGGGGGGATGAATTACTATATGGGGGATGAATTACTATGGGGGATGAATTACTATATGGGGGATGAATTACAATATGGGGGATGAATTACTATATGGGGGATGTATTTTCAGTTTTAAAAATGTGGCTCTCAAAATAAATTTCAATCGTGGTTTTGGCGAGATTTGGCTCAGTTGAAAAAAAAGGTTGCCCACCACTGGCCTAGGCGATCGCAGCGGGAGAGGGTACCTGTCAAATTCGGGTACCCGCTCTTCAAAGGTGCCAATCCTTAATGGGGAGCGGGGGACAAAGGCTTAAAGTGGAACTTTCCTTTTTGGGTGGAGCTCCGCTTTAAATGGACTGTACAGTTTCTGCAAAATGCTGCAGAAAATTCTGAGGTGTGAACTAGAACTAATTTGGATGTTTCATCTCCGCAGAATAATGACATCCCTCATTCACAGAATCCAGGCACACCAACAGAAGATACAGACAATGTATGATGTAACCAACCAATCATCATTTTGGTTCTGGAACAAACTCTGATTGGCTGTTCTGATTGATTGGACTTTGTACTCCATCATATGTCCTCCCTATCACACATCATCTCCTGTATCACACTTCATCTCCTTCTGTATCACACATAATCTTCCCCATATCACACTTCATCTCCT